GGGGGGTTGTAGGGGGGCTTGCCCCCCAATTTTCTCACATTTGGGTTGATTTGCGGTGTCAAATCACACCACAAAACATCAGAAACGATATAGAATCACATGGGGGTTATTGGGGGGCTTGCCCCCCTAATTACAATATATAATCCCATGGGGGGTTGTAGGGGGGCTTGCCCCCCAATTTTCTCACATTTGGGTTGATTTGCGGTGTCAAATCACACCACAAAACATCAGAAACGATATAGAATCACATGGGGGTTATTGGGGGGCTTGCCCCCCTAATTACAATATATAATCCCATGGGGGGTTGTAGGGGGGCTTGCCCCCCTATTTTCTCACATTTGGGTTGATTTGCGGTGTCTGTGAGTGGTAGGGGTAGGGCAGGGATAGCATTAGAATTAGATATAAATCACCTACCTTTTCATGCGTCCAGTCCTGGGTAGACCTTTGAAATCTCCTTCAGGAAACGTACAAACTTGCATTTGGCATCGGCGTTCTGCCGGTGCCAAATATATTCCGCCAGGTGGGCAGCGAAGTGCTGCTTCTGGGTGTGGGATGAGCGCAAACTCCTCTTCACTGCCCACCAGGTTGATTCGATGGTGTTGGTGTGGGCGCCGGTATGCGGGTCGACGAAATTTTCGGTGTGGTTGACGGTCAGGTGTCGGAAACCCTCTCGCTCCAGGCACTCGTAGCTCTTGAAACAATCGCTGTAGATTATGGTACCTGGAGCGACATGCTTCTTAATCAGACTGACGAGGGTATCCTGGGTGCGGTCTTGTACTGGGACAAGGAAGCACTCCTTGGTCTCGCGACAAATGCCGCCGAACACCCACTGGCCGTCGACCACCCTCCCGCGATTATATTTGCGTTTTCCAAACTTGGCTTCGTCGACCTCGACACTGTAGTTGGCCCCACCAATCTGCCGCACTTCGTCACCGCAGTAGAGACTTTCAACGATGACCTCTCTGCAATAATTGTACAGATCGGCCACCGTTTCCGAACTGGTTTCGCAGTCGTCAAAGTCTGGTCCTGACGTTTCGCGGATGGCGGTGTCGTAACTACTGCGGTTGACGAAGCAGTAGGCTAGAAAGAGGCTTTTTTGAACGAAACTTTGGCTCCTTCAAACCAAGTTTTCTTGGTTATCGATATATATTTTCGGCAGGCGCGCTTGGTGCACCGAAATCGCGCCTGTGTCGCGTTGCCCCTCTTCGAATAATGGACTGTGTCCAAAATGTCACCACAGCTGGGACATAAGCAGGACCTCGGGAACAATCCCCACTTCTGTCCAAACTGGACACACTCCTCGAAGGTAGAGGTGTAGCGACACAGTTGCGAAAAATTAATAAAATCAGAAAAATCCTTACACGCTTTCTTCGCACTAGACGGACCACTCGCTTCCTCACTCATACTCACATTTCACAAGAAAAAAAGTAAAAACTACTCAAACACCAAGAACACACGCGCGCATAGACACTCAATAACTCAAATAACAGCTCTCCTCTTGTACTAGAACAGGAATACAAAAACCACTTGAAGAACTAGAAATAGAAATAGCGAGAGATGGTGGCTCTGGAGAGAAGTAGAACACACAACATGCACAAAAATCAAAACGCTTATATAGATAATTTTTACTATCCTACGTCACGTTGTCAACGAGATAGGACAAGAAAGCACTGAGGTCACGGTTGTCACGGAATTCGTTTTTTATGTCGTTTTTTCTTTTCCGTTCAAAACATGTGCTAATGAAATCGTTATAGTGTTTAATTTTTCGCTTCATCTCTTACCGCGACACGGGAGTACGAAAAGAACGAAATACAAGTAGACCGGTAGGGAGAAAGCCGCGCCTGTCCACGATGGCAACTCAAAAAACCGGAAGTCGTTTTTTTAATATGCAAATGAGGTAGAGTCGACTCAGAAATTTACTTTTTTTTCTTCTTTCTTTTTTTTTTGAAGCCGATCGCATCAGCTTTCCTAATTTTGCGAAGGAACCTCGTCAAAACCATTTGATGTCAAAAGTAATTGCGTTTTGGGAATTTTGAAAGGTGATACACTCACACTTAACTCAAGTAGGTTTATAAGAACTTTTTTTCACACATTGGTAACACCAGCTGTTTGGCATAGTGGTTATGCTGCTGGACTACTAATCATGTTTGCTTCCCTCCCTCACAGGTTCGATTCCCAGCCACGTCACCGATTTTTCTAATCATGTCATATTGTTGT